ATTAAAATGATCTCACAAACATTTAATGTCTGATGCAAGACAACTCCACTTAGCATGTTAAGTCATTCGAAGCGTGTATAGTAATATGGTTTGTGAACCATACATGAATTGTCTGGTCACAGGCAATAGTCATTGGGACGGGCTATTGAGGTAAGTGAAATAAGATGAATTGGTTAGATGAATTGGTTGAAATTATTGTAGAATATATTTTGAGCTATTTTTTCATATAAATATTTCTTTATTTTTTAATAAAATATATTCAAAATACGAAGTATAATTTTTCCATAATTCCCAACTCAGCCGCTTCAACCTAAACATCAATTATAACCAGACAATTAAGAATCTCCTTTAAATAAATTCACTTGACAGATTAAATTGTTTCAGTGGCTATTGTTTATAACCAGACATTTCATGTCACGTTCACAGACAATTCCAATTAGCACATTTGCCCGTTCCAGTGGCTATTGTCTGTGACCAGACAACTCCACTTAGCACAATGTCTCATTAGCCGAATTCAGCGACTATTGTTTTGCCCAGACAATTCATATCAAGTTCATAGACACTTTCATGTAGTACATTAGTCCGTTCAAGTGGTCATTGTCTGTGGCTGGACATTTCATGTTTGGTTCACACACAATACCACTTAACAAATAAGCCTGTTCCAGTGATCATTGTCTGTGGCCAGACATTTCATATCACTTTCATAGACAATTATTCATAGCACATTCGACACTCAAGTGGCAAACAAAATAAATCATCTTATATCTTTTGCTTTGAAACTCTCATTCTTGACTTCTAAAATGATTGATTTCTCATCATTTGTTTATCAATGCCTAGTTCACAATAAGATACATCTTTGATAATAAATGCAAATCTAAATACTACTACATTCTAAATACAAGAATGTTTGCATTACAATGTGACTGGTTACACAATAACACTGTATCACTTTACACATCCATAAACAATTCCACAAAATGACCGATCATCTCCACTAACAACCTTTCTTTCTCCATGTGGTGAAGTCTCTATGCTATTTCATGATGAAGCATTTCTGAATTTATTGTAGCGCAAATGTAAAAATGAGCCCTATCCATATCATTCATGCAACGAGAACTCTAATAAGACATAAGCATCCGAGAGAATGAACACCATTTTGTGTTGTTGCTTCCTTTTTATCTACTGACCGGAAATAAAAACATAACCATTTTGGAAATTGATGTAAATAATTCAAATCAAACATATATAGAACATATTTCATTACGAGCAATAGGCCAACAACATAGCGTAGGAGAGCTGCTAAAGCTTTTCTATATAGAGAATTCATTATTTCCCCGTTCCTTTGACAATGCCTGATATTGCTTGTGCAACCTATTTAATAAACTTCAACAAAATGGTCAAAATCCTCCCAAGCACATTCTTTTTATTGCCAGATGAATCTGAGTTCTCGTTTTCTGTATGACTTTTTCGTCCATTTCGGCCTTGTTTGGGTGAGGTAAATGGTGCAAAAATGGCAGGGGCAACAAGAATAAGTGCAGCTACACACTCGGGTGCTTCGAAATATGCCTCAAATGCTACAAGGGAACCCACAGAGTGTCTGGTTTCTCATTAATTTTGTATCAAACCAGTTTTAGCTTTCAGAATGCAAGAGATACAAATACAAGGTCATGTATTTATTCTTTCCATAAACAAGTCACCGAGTCTTCATGTATTCAATTTCATGTCCCTATGTGGCTTTAGAAAAAAAATCACTTATCTTCCCTTATTTGTTTATTGTTTAATGGAGGGAGTAGATAACTCATTGTTGGAGAAAGGAAATGGAATTTGACCCCATAGTTGAATGACTTATTGAATCCAATCGATTAGTTAGTCTTACCTCGCTCTCTCAGATGAGGTTCTTGACAAGACTTTAGCCAATATCCGCATAGACTCGGATTTCCAATAAAACTAAAGATAAGATGAGTCAAATAATTACACAAGTTTGACAAAAAAACTGAATGGCCAAGCAAACTTGACAATAGTTTGTACCTATCGGGTGAAAACCTTGAGAAGTTGTTTCCCGTTGGTACATTCCCAGCTAAATTGTTGTATGAGACATTTCTACAAAATTCCAGTATGTGAAATTAGTCACACAACAATGTCGTTTAAAGGGCAAAATGAAAGCCGAGTCTTGATTAAATTCAACACTTACAAAACATTAAGAGCTGGGAAATTTGACAATGACATCACATCACCTGATAAGTTGTTATTTTCTATTTTCCTGGATCATCCATATATAACAAAAGTTGACTATGAGAATTTAGATTTGACAACTGTCATATATAGTAATGAATAATACTCCCTCGTCCCGCTAAGATTGTCCCATTTTACCTTTTCGGGAAGTCCCACTAAGATTGTCCCATACCAAATTTGGTAAAGATTGTGTGGCTCTAAAGCATTCTTACTTTATCAATTTAATATCAACCACACAAACTCACTTTTCTTAATAATCGTGTCACCTTCTTCCGTCCCAATCTTAGTGGGACGGAGGTAGTAATAAACAATAAATAGTTGATAATTTTTTTATCAAATCTCACTTGCAGCAAGAAGAGATACTGAAGTTGGTTGAGTTCTTGAGGTATTATTCCAGAAAGGTGATTGCTTGAAATATCAATGTAAGATAATACAATTATACAAGTCCGAACTCTATAATAAAAATTTGATCATCATCTCAATAAGATGTATTGGGAGAAAAGATTTCGTACATTTCCATTATGTTTCTCAAATTTCCAAATTCACCTGGTATTTTTCCAGTGATATCATTCTTACTCAAGGTCCTGCAGCAGTAACAAATTTATAGTGTCAACAAAAACAATACCTACATGAGAGGTAATAGAGCTAGCCTGCCCAACATATTAATAAACTCACAATTTCAGAAGATGTTCAAGATCACCAAGAGAAGAAGGAATTGAACGACTGATCTTATTATCTGAAAGGTCCTTGGCCATCCAAGAGAAAAAGAGAGAAACTAAGATCCACATCAAACAGAGAAGTGTTTAAACTCTAAAGTTTTCACAAGAAAACAAATAAAGTAAGCACCTACAAAAAATAACTTACAGTGTATCAAGGTTCCCAATACGAGAAAGCTCAATCGGTATGGGATCATTTATGCTATTGGAGGATAGATTCCTTTAAAAGAAACATAATGCATAGTTGGGTTCAATGTTTTAGTCATTTGAACAAGAAAACATTAATATGTGTGAAGAAATTAGTCATAGTCACATAAATCTAGGAATCCTACAAAAATAAAAGAACAATAATGATTTTTCTCTTAATTGTTGTTATTAGAGTATTGTGCACAAATCATATGCAATACCTCCACTTTCCCTTAAATTATACTCCGCAGTTTCTGGTTTCTTTCTATATAAACAATTATCAATTAAAAACAAACAATTAAATCTAAGCACAAATCTACTACACCTTCCTCCTCTCAAGCATTTATATGATACTGACTGTTGACAGTTCATTACTAAGGAATCAACGGTTTTGTTTATCTTCATGGAACTTTTATGCTTCTTAACCTTCATTCGGGGTAGTATCCAAGCACTTTGGCATTAAAACTGAACATCAAGTTCAACTCATAAACAAGTTCAGTCGTTCCCTTCTTGACAGTCAAATGTCCTTTAAGTATAAAATCCCCCCCCCCCCCCATTTATGAATATCTTCTGGCAGTGAATACACATCAACTGAACCTTATCCCTGTTTTTATAAGTTTGGCCATGTTTCCATGCTGGATAGCGATTTCAAGGAGTTACTGGTATAAGATCCAAAATTGAAGCAACTTTTATAAAATTTCTGCACACACAATCAAATTTCTTTTAGGGTAAGCTGAAAATAAATTTCATAAGTTAAGCAGTACCTCAAATAAAGTTCACTCTCTAGTAATTTGAACTTCTTGAAAAAAGTTAACATAGAGTCTCGGTTCGTCGGCTAGGAATCCAAGGAAAGAAGAGGACTTATCGACTTAGCTAGGGCTAGGGCGAAGTCCCAAAGAGCGTCCAGCAGGTGACAACGAATTGGGGGAGGAATTTTCATTGAAGATGACAGTTCACAGACAATGGGAGAGGGGAAGAGGGTTTGTTGAGAACTGGAGAAGAGGGAGGGGGGAGTTTCCGTCGAAGAGGAGCGCACAGGCCAAAGATGAGAGAGAGAAAGGGGTGAATGTGAAAATGGAGAAAAGTGATTGGTAAAAAAAAGTAAAAAAGCTATATATACTTTGGGAGTGTTTGCAATAGCTTAAAAAAGCACTTCTCAGCTTTTGTGTTGAAGTATTTATCCCACACCGGAAAGCTTCAAAACAATAAAACACTATATAAGACTTTGGGTTACTCCTCCTATCAGGTTGACCTTTTAGGATGGAATCCCGGGTCTTAACATGGTATCAGAGCCAAGTCCGGTTGTGGTTTGAAAACTTGTTTAGCACCCATGATTAAGGGTAGCTTGTTAAGGGTCTGTTTGGCCCATTTATACACCCCGATATTGTTCAGCCCGGTTCGGGCTGAGGGGGCGTGTTGAAGTATTTATCCCACACCGGAAAGCTTCAAAACAATAAAACACTATACAAGACTTTGGGTTACTCCTCCTATCAGGTTGACCTTTTAGGATGGAATCCCGGGTCTTAACATTTTGGCTTAAAAAAATACTTATTTACCAAACACTTCCAATTTTTACTTTTTCTCGGCTTGCGTGTGAAAAGTGCTTTTCCCTTTTCTATTACACAAAAAACACTTATTTTACCAAACACTACCAACTTTTACTTTTCAAAATCACTTTTTTCTCAAACACTATCAACTTTTACTACTAATCACTTTTTCATTACATCTTCAAAAATACTTTTTTTTAAGCAGAAGCAGTTGCAACCATTCCTTTTTTTTAAGCAGAAGCCGTTGGAACCATTCCCTTTGTACAAAACGTGTATAACGTGTGCACATTAAACATTTTCGTTTAATTGAAAGAAATGATGGAGTTAAAAACGCTATTTAAACTGTGTACAAAAACGATTGCAGTCGAGGTATTGAGGACTGCAAAGTGCAAGCTGGATAGTCTGGATTGAAATAAGCGTGTTATAGAAATCTTCTCTTTGTTTAGGTCACCGCTTACTAGGGTTTCTTCGAGTATTCTTAATTCCTCATCCAGGAGTGATCCAGGACCTATGGATCTGGAGGTGGTGGGTCGTCACGCTATTTTCTTCGATGACGATGCCATGGCGGCCTTTGTCAACTCCACGGATGCGCTTGTCGAATGGAACTCTCTCATTATCGACCGCTACGACGTCCGTCACCTTCTCTCTTCCCCACCTCTGCAAACCAGGCGGTCTCTTTCTTCTCTATCTCATGCTATCGACTCGTCTCTTAAATCCGAGCTAGATTTGGAACGCTATCTCGATCTTCCAATATCTGTTAATCATCAAGGTGATTCATTTGGTACGATGCATTTGTTTCCGTTGGCACGTACACAGTATGTTCCTTCTATCAACTGAGCTCAGTGGAGAGAAGCACTTTTTTTTAGATTTTCTTCTTTAGTGCGTTATGTGTTCAGACGCCTTTTTTTCAATGAATGGTTTGGTTTATGATTTGAAGTTACAAAGCGCAATTCATGATTATTCCTTAAGGGGTGTTTGGAACCGATCCTGGGATCAGAATAGGAATCAGTTTTTACACAAACACTCATGCATTTTTAAGAATCAGATTCAAACACCCCCTAAATCACACTTCTTTGGGAATTTTGATTGGTTAATAACTACGTATAAATTAGAATAAGAAATGGTAATTATAGGTAAGTGTGATAGGAAATAGTAGTTTGCTGTACAGATTGATCACATGACACAAGGTCCATTTAGAAATGATTTGGCCGTACACTTGTTAGATTTAAAGGGAACTGATATTCTATGTTCGGGGGCTTCTATAATCACATGGCTCTTTTCTGTACAGAAAAAGAAGAAGATGGTGTACATTTAGACAATAATACAGGTAGATACAATGCCATCCCATTCTCTTATGGAAATGTCAATGGTGAAGCTGAAGAAGTGAGCCATGATATGGGAATTCATAGCTCTGGATTTCGTCCTCCCTTCAATGTGCCTGAACACCTTCAATGCTTGGTGAGTTTATGTGCTTCAGTCTACTTTTATGACTGTTGGCATTGTCTGTTACTTGCTAACAATGTTTCACCATGTGGAAGAGACGAGTGCCTAAATTCTATACTATTCCTCACCATGTCTAAGATTTCAGAATTCAAATGCTCGGAGCAGTGGAGTTAATGTCATCTAAGGTTGCCATTCACAGGTGGGATTAGGAATGTAATAATGTTTCTTTGCAAGGACAGTAATCTATATTGCTTGAGAGGAAATGCTCTACTTAATGATCATCATATTGTAAAAACTCTCCTAGTAGGCAATTACTTCACACATCTGATTAAATTTGGATCATGAGATTATTTTGTAAGATTGTAGTTTCTATTTGATAGTCTAATGTATTTGAAGCCAACTTTTGACGGAAAACGTATTGATTTTTTATTTTCCAGCCACCATCTGAGAAGGTCCATCAAATAATTGCAAGGACTGCTCTATTTGTTAGTAGTCATGGTGGGCAATCTGAAATTGTTTTGAGGGTGAAACAGGGAGATAACCCAACATTTGGCTTCTTAATGCCAGATCATCACCTACATCCATATTATAGGTTTCTTGTTGATCACCAAGAGCTTTTGCATTCCAATGGTGACATGAAACCACAAACTGGAGAAAGAAAGGTTGTCAATGAGCCAGACGGTGCATTATCCTTGCTTGGTTCTGTTTATGGATCAGGAGAGGACGAGGATGTTTCTAACAAAACAACCTCCGATGAAGCTGTTGATGCAGTCCCTAATGCACAGAAGGAACAATTTAGTGCACTTTTGCCTAAGCAAGATGAGTCAGTTTTGAAACATCCTTTTCATTCTGGTGGTTTAGATAATGAGAAAACTCATATTCTGAAAAAGAATCCTCTGGTTGGTGGATTTAACGGTGGAAGCACAAGTCATAAAAAACCGAAAGATGACCATGTATCTGTGTCTGTTCATGCAGCACTAGAGAAGCTTAAGGCATCTGGTCTTGGGATAACACTTAAGACTGAACCTGTGGCTCTAGAGCCTCCATCCGATTTGAAAAAATTGATTGGCAAGATTGTTGAATTCATACGGAAGAATGGGAAGCAGTTTGAAGCAACACTTATAGAACAGGATAATAAGCATTGCAGGTTTCCGTTTCTTCTCCCATCCAACATGTATCATCCTTACTATTTAAAAGTTCTCCATGGTTCTCAAGAGGTGACCTCTCTCTCTCTAATATTGGTTTAAACAAGATGTAATATTCACTTCACATTTAGGTCTGCTTTGAGATAACACATCAGGCTTTGTTGTTAAAATATTCTGCATTCTAAGTTGTGTGGAGGACTGAGATTGTAGAACTTAAACTGAACACTCTCCTTCCTCAAAATGAGCTTCATTTCACAAACATTTTTTTGACAAAAGTATGGGATTTCACTTTAAAAAACTTTCAAAATGTAGTAATTTCCAAAAAGAGTAACATACAAGTTACATATGTCAAATCTAGCCAAACTAACCAATACGTTTTAGACATCTTTGTGATTGTTGCACCTTACCCAAACTAGAACGTTTACTTTGATCAACTAAGTTTTTTAGATGTAGTAGTGCTATTGACAGGAAATGGGGCTGTTTGGGATGGTGTGGGGAACACATTATTTGGTATCGTTTAGGCGTCCTGGCGGTCAAGAATGCCTCACCATTTCTGGTCTCCTTGCCTGATAATTGAATGGTGTCATTTAGGCATTGGCTGAGGTGTGCATGGCAATTGGCAACACTGAGAATCACGGTAGATGGTACGCAAACTCGAGAGCCTAAGTATGATTGAAAAGGACCTAAAGATTCTAAACTGCAGGACCCAAGTATACCACAACTAGCGACACATCAGATTTTCCCCTACATTTCCCTGAATATCTGATGTTTCCCACAACATCGAAATGTTCTCCCATCATTTTTTTTATTTTCAGATGATTCTGTTTTTTCCCAACAGTTAAGGTAAACAAATCACTATTATTAAAAAACTCTACAAGCCTGCGATTTTACACGGCAATCCATGCGATCCACTCAGTTTGCGATATTTTGTAAAACTAGACCTCTGAAAGTAGTTAGGACTTAGGAGCATATAATCACCAGCACGAAGTAGATATACACATGAAGAAATAAGCAATTAAATACCTGCTTCTTGGATGTTGTTCTTGGTGTATACTTGTTTTTAAATTTCCTGAAGTTTCCCACAAGTTCCGATGCTTCCGATTTTTTCCTACATTTACCTAAACATCCAACTTTCCCACAACTTCCAAATGCTCTCCTGACATTTCTAAATTTCAGACGGTTCAGTCTTTCCAACATTTAAGGCATACAAATCACCAACATTTAAGGTATACAAATCATTACTCTTAAATGACCCTACGAGCCTGTGATTTTACACAATGATCCAGGCAATCCTACTCACTTCTTTATATTTTGTAAAAACTAGACCGCTGAAAGTAGTAACAAGCACATTATCTCATGATACAATGATCTGGATTGTAATTTTGACCATCATGCTTCGAATCGAGTTTTTTTCCAAATTGATTTTGACCCGGCAACATAACTTGTTTTTTCCTAATTTAAGTGGCAGCATTAAAATTTGAAAAAGCCCTGAACAGAATAAAGTGAAAAGACATCTAAAAATAAATGCCTGCATCACAATCCAAGTTTGTCTTTTCTTTCTCCCTTCACTTCTTTTTATCCTCCCCTTTCTTCTTCTTTCTTCATTTCATATCTTTATTTATGTGTAGTAAACTTTATTCTTTATGATTTTTTCATTTCTTTAGTATGTGAAGGATGCTAATTTTGTTTGCAGAAGCTCAATAATTTAATTATTATTACACTTTTGATTTGAATTAACATCATAAAGTAGCAATCCATAGATTGTATTTCTTAGTCTTTTATTAAAAGTTATATCCAAGTATTGTGTACATCTACTTGTTGCTCAGGCGATCGCTCAGTCGCCTAGGCTACAAGGCTGTCTACTGCGCCACACCTTGCTTCAGTTGAGCTTTAGTAGTCTATCAAACCTATGAGAACATGAAACCTTTATCTTGAATGCAGCTTAATATTCTGTCTGGTTTTGATTTTATTATTATGTGAAGATGAAACCTTTATTTTGTATGCCACATCTTATATCCTTGTGCCGTATTAAAGTAAATTGATCTCTCTCCCTGCAATCTAAACAATGTGCCACCTCTTGTTACAGACAAAATACAGTGGCAATAGCTTACAATCTGGGAGTGATGGTTCACTTGGGAAACGACCAGAAGAAAGAGCGTCATTGTCTTTAGTATCTGGTGATGGTGATCTTCCTTATGAAAATGATAAGAAGGAGAAATTTAAGATGGTGATTGGGAAATCAAAGAAGGAATCGCAGGAACAGTTAGATAAAGCACCACAGCAAGAGAATGGAGGGTTCAGTGTAGATGCCGCTTCGGCTGCCGCGATACTTCAAGCGGCTGCCAGGGGCATCAAGAATCCCAATATAGCAATATTCTCAAAAACTGCTGAGAATGCTGAGACTAGTGCAGAAGCCGATTCTTGTGATCCACAGTTAAGTAAGGAACAGCAGCTGAAAGCGGAGAGGTTGAAGAAGGCAAAGATGTTTGTGGCTATGCTGAAAAATAGGTCTGTCCCTTCACTTAAAGGTGAGCCTTCACGTGCAGTGTCATCAGAACCACATTATTCTGGTCAATTAGATGGTAATCGTTCAGACCAAGGTGAAGGACTGAAATTCATAGATGAGTACAGTGCAAAGCGATCAATGAGGAAGTACAGATCAAATGCTTCGAGACATGAAGAGGATGAAGAGGATGAGGGAGAAACGGAACATCAATCTCTTGGTAGTGATCACAAATCTTTAAGGGTATGTTTGGACCCTGGAAAATGATATGGAAAGGAAAACAATGATAACAAAAATTCTTTTCCTGTGTTCGATTTTACCGTAGGAAAATGCATAAGAAAATGAATTAGGATGATCATTTTTTAAAATGTTGTTTCCCTTTGTTCAACCTTTGTTTTCCCTAATTTGTTTTCGGGCTGTGCATAATAGTTTTTTACTTTTCCTTTTAAAGAAAGATTTGGGTAGTTGATATTTCTTTTTATTTCTAAATCAATTCAACAACAACATCCAAGCCTTAGTCCCAAAAGATTTTGAGGTCGGCTAACAAGAATCGATACATGATATTGTAACCAAAAGGAAACTAAAGATAAGAAAGATAAAAAGATAAGATATAAAACAAAAGATAATATAAAAGAGATCCATATACATAACAATGGTAGAATAAAAAGGATAAAAAGAATATATATATATATATATATATATAAATGAAAGGATACAAAAACAAGAAAGAAAAAGAATATGAGGGGAATGATATCTTTAGGCTTCTTTGTCATTAAATAAGAGAAATATGTAGTATATAAATAGATGAATTTGAACTTGTAGTTGAGAATTATTGAGTTTTTTAATCTCTTGTAATTTATCTCTCTATTTCTTTTCATAGCATATGCCAGATGATGACAAAGGAGAAAAAAGTGAAGATAGGAAGGAACATAGACGTTCTAAGAGGAAGAAGCACCACCAGTCACATCACTCAGATGAAGATAGTGATGTTTCTGACAGATATGAAGAGGAAAGGCGAAGTCGGAGACACTCTAGGAAGAACCACCGATCCCATAATAAGCGCGATGATGATGATGACGAGATAGATGAAGAAAAACACCATAGACACTCCAGAAAAAAGCACAAATCTCATAATTCCTCGAAGAACACAAGCAGACATGAACGGTCAAAAAGAGCTTCTCATTGTGATGATGAACATCATAGAAACAAATCTGATAAACTAAGAAAAGGTGCTGCTGATGGGGAAGATTTGGAGGAAGGAGAGATTAGCAAAGTGTCGGATCAGTCCACTAGAGGACTGGTATGCAGAGAAGCTTCTAATGACGTTTCAAGTCCACCAAGATCAACATCTCAACCCTCTGATGAACTTAGGGCCAAGATACGTGCCATGTTGATGGAAGCTAGAAGGTAGAGCCGTAGAGCTTCGAGATTGTAGGCTTTTTGTACTGAAGATGTGTGAATATCATACTCAGTACTGTTGTACTCGATTTGATCCCCACTTGATAATCATTGTTTTCCCTAGTTCATGTTTATAAAAGAGACAATTTTGTATCTTCACCTGAACAGTTGAACTCTCAAATATTAATTATTAGTACGCTCCCTAGCATGAAGGAGGGTGGGGTGCAGGAGCTCTTTGAAGTAACTAGCAGTCTAGCATGAAGCTGAAATTAGCTTAGGGATTTTGTTTAATTTCTTTGATGCATTGCTTGATTGCTATACATTATAGTATTACTTGTATTCATATATGGTTTCAAATTGTGTTGAGATGGAGTGGGGAAAGTTAGACTTTGCACTGTTTGCAGGTAAAACTAACAAAAGGGTATTTTTAGACCCAATAATTAGTTTGAGAATTATTTTGAACTGAAAAAAGATGGTATCATCTCTTCTGTCTTCGTTGAACTTGCAAATATTTTTAACCACTGGACTTAGGAGTCTATTTGGGTGAAATTTGAGGAATTTAGTGGAGGTCCCAAAGTTTCCCATTGGGTGAAAAATCCGATTGGTACTTGTCCAATTTTACCCGGACTGAGACTATCAAACTCTAGATGAATTAATTCATACTCCATATTACTTCCCAATATCAATTCCTCATTTCCTCTTTTGACTTCTCATCTAGAGTCGAAATCAATTACTATCAAACTCTAGATGAATTAATTCATACTCCATATTACTTCCCAATATCAATTCCTCTTTTGACTTCTCATCTAGAGTCGAAATCAATTATATTGATTATAAAGAAATAACATAAATCAATTATAAAGAAAAATAAAGTTTGTTTTGAGACACTGTAAAAGAAAAGTATGGAGATAAATTTTAATAAAAGTGAAGTAAAATGATTGTTTTCCTTATTAAATTATGTGGTAACTAATACTACCTCCGTCCCATTTATATTGGGACGGAAGAGGGTGGCACGGTTATTAAGAAATGTGGGTTTGTGTGGTTCATATTAATTGATAAAGTAAGAATAAAGAATGATTTAGAGCCACACAAACTTTGCCAAATATGGTATATGGGACAATTTAAGTGGGACTTCCCGAAAAGGTAAAACGAGACAATATAAATGGGACGGAGGGAGCATAAAACGTCAAAAAGTAAGGAGGACGAGTTAGGCAGGGTAAGAGGGACAAGAAAGCGGGGCAAGGCTAGAAAAGCAAGGTAGGTGGGGGGGGGCAAGAAAGTGGCCAAGAGGGGATATGGATATGGAGCGGGATAAGAGCATCTCAAATGCTACAATGTGCACGATGCATATGTGGCATGAGAGACAGACACAAAAGAATACATTCATGACATTTTTCTCACATTTCCACGGCCCAGTGGTGGACTCGGGTCGAGTGGCCCGACCCAGAACCGGAACCGGCCCGGTACTGTTAGGCTCGGCCCGGTGGCCCGGCCAGGGACCGGTCCGGGTAGGCCCGGCCCGGGGGGTTTTCCGGTGCGGGCTCGGGTCAGGAAAACAAGGAACCGGCCCGGGCGGACCGGGCCCGGTTTGGGCAATATATTTTGTTTTTTCATTTTTTTTTGAATTTCCGGGTTGGGCTGAGTATTTTGGGGTAGTTTGGGGGATTGGGGGTGGGGGGTGGGGGGGGTTTAAGTAGAAAAAGAAAAAAAAAAGTTTGGTCCGAGGCCTGACCCGGACCCGGGGGTTACCCGGGCCGGTTCCGGGCCTACCTCCCAACTTCTAAAGCCCGACCAGGCCTAGGCCCGGGCCTGACCCGGCCCGGGTCCATCACTACCACGGCCTTGTGAGTTTTTGGTAAGTTTTTCTAAACAATGTCAATTGGCAACCACACTGTCTACATGTAAACATTGCGCTTGAAGTTGTGAAGAAAAACTTACTAAAAACATATATGACCATTCAAATAAGGAGAAGTATATTCTATTTATTAATTTTTATGTGTCTATTTCTTTCACGTCACATGTGCTAACGCTCATGTTTTTGCATTGGCGAAGATGTTCTAAGGGGGCAGGAAGGGTGTTAAGGGTGCAGAAAAGCACGCGATTCATGTCAACTTAATGAGTTTTAGCGTTGTACAAACAAAAGCTCATCATACATCAACGTTAGTGTTTCCTTTCTAGTCTGAAAAAACAATAAAAACGAACCTACCTTTTTTGGTGACCATTGACCCTTTTGTTGAACTGGCCCTGTCATTCCCCTATATCTTTATCACAATGCAATTCTTAAAGGAGTTTGAATTATAGGTTTTCTGCTTGCAAAGACAAATCAATCGTTGATAAGGTAGTCAAGGTGCAAGTTTGAGATGGTTTGATGACCGATGTGGCGATGTATAGGGGTGGGACTTTGGAACAAAGATCCGGAAAACCGAATCATTGTGACCCAATTCAGTTCTATTTCAACATTAATTAGTATTCCATTAACAGTTCGATTTCTATTCTTATTAACGATTTGGTTCTCGGTTCTTATAAAGATATGTATGCGGAACCGTTAAGCAACTACGATATAATAATTAAGTTTATATATGTTTTTTTGAATAGATTAAGTTTTTATGTATAACTTATTAGTCTATACTCCCTCCGTCCCAGAAAATTCTTCCCACTTTGACTTGGCACGGAGATTAAGAAAGTGGAATAAAGTGGAAATGTGTGATTGTGGTTGTGTAAGAAAAAGGTGAAATGAATGTGAACCACACAAATTGTCCAAAAAGGGAAAGTGGGAAGAATTTTTTGGGACGGCCCAAAAAAGAAAGTGGGAAGAATTTTAATATAGTTAATAGAGTTTTTTTACAAAGCTTCTTAACCTATTATAGTATCTGTTCGATATTAAAGCCAACATCTTTGAACTGAGATGAGATTCAAACATGTGACCTTCTCCTTGGGAGTGGCACAGTGAAGTCATCAGACCACAATGTATTTGGCAGTATAGTTAATAGAGTTGATGACTTGATTTGTTAGATGCTCGGATAGTCAGACTCACACGATAGATTAGACTAAAACCCTAATCAATTTCTACTCTTCTCCGTGACTTCTCTGTTGGCTAACTACATTGCTATTTGAAGATCTCAATTCTTGATTGCAATAGATGTCTTTTTTGTTTTCTTTACTAAACTTTTCGATTTGTTATGTACTTATGTTTGAAACTTAACTTTTGAGGTTTGAAATATGATAACCTTGAACTAATTTGTACTTCTTATAATTTCAAATGTTGAATGTCTTTATGTGTCAACCGTTAAGGTTTGATTTGGTTCAATATCAGGTCTACAAATAATTTATAATAATCGGACTGATACTAAGAGTTGTGATTTTTTGAATGATTCCAATTCTTTTCCTAAGAACCGAACCGGTACCAAGTGCTCTACAACTTGAAGCTATAAATAGACCAACCTGATGACCGCTGTGCAATTTAATCACGTAGCCTAATCTCGTATTGCAATCGAAAATCACAACAATAACGGCTAGTAATCGCTCACTTAAAAATTATCTTACATAACATTGGAAGCGAGAAATCCCAGTTCATGGATGTCCACTATACTTTCTGGTGTTCAAGAATTAATACAATAGCAAACAACCTACACAAACTGAAACTGCCTAAGCAAATATAATACTAGGATGGAGTTAAATGATCCACCATATTCTCTGTCTCTTCCCCTTGTTATTATTAGGTAATAATTTACATGAAGCTTCATGGGTTATTTCTTTTTATATATTCTTTGTCGCACATTACAAACTGTCTGTGTAGCATTTCATGCAGACCATACCACAGACAATGGTAAAAAGTTGTGTGCGTACATCAAACAGGACATAAAAGTTATCCGTGCATAGCATAGAGAATTAGGGTATAAGACTCATCATTGGAGGAGCAATCCCAAATGGGGAGTACAACAATTAGGAGGCCGTTTGGTAACATCATTTTTCGGCTTATCAGACTTATCAACCAACTTTTTCACCAAACACGTAACTTTTACTTTTGCGCGCTGAATTGTGTAATAAGCAGAAAAAGTAAGGTTGAACTTACTTTTCTGGCTTTATTGGCTGAAGTTACTGTAGATGACCATTTTAGCTATTTTTACATATAATTTTTTCTTTATTTTATTAATAAAATATATTTTAAAAATAATTTTTACTTAAATCAGCAGAAACAGCCAAAGCAGCCGATTTTTGTGCTACCAAACGGGCTCTAGAGATGTTTTCAATTGAGCTGGTTTCATTCTCAGACCAGACTAAATTTCGACAATTGTAAAATGCACATAGAACAGACATCTACGGAACCAAACTTCTATAAACTAGACCATAGACCAGAAACATACCCCATACAACACATCAGGTACAATTGACAACTTCACCTAGCTTTTTCGAGATCCAAACATACCCCACAAGTTCAGAGGCTCAGAGCTATGGAATTGAAGGTTTACGTTGAGCAAGCATGATATCAATATCTTTTATTTATTGGAGCATCAAATTCAATAACTATTATGAACTCATGATTGAGAAGAATGCTCATATTTTAAAAGAAACAAAGTTATTTGTTAATGATAAAAGATAAAAATATACAGATAAGACTCTAAGGCTACACTAGGATTTGCTAATCCCTCAAATAATGCCCTTGTTACTAAATTGAATAATTGGACATAAAGGAGACAAATTGTCCAAATTAAAAGGAAAGCAGATAAAAACACAAAGCCCAACTTCACCCACCACTTCAAAGGGTCTCCCTCTGCGCAACTCTCCTCCGCCTGCCTAGTCAAAATGTTCGGTAGTGCTTCTTCACAAGCACCACCTCCTTGCCGTTTCTCGCCCTTTGCGGCCTCATCAATGGTCAACCTAAACCTCAACTCTGAGTTAAGCTACTCTCGTTTCCACTCATTACAAACCAATCCGAAATCCAATCCAACTAAATTAAGATTAAATTTATAAATATGCAGCCCTGGTCTGACCTATGCTAGATTGTATATTTCCAGATGCTGCCTCAGGCATTTCTTGAAGCTTTCTTCATTGCATCCTTTGAGCGGCAGAATTTGCAAGGATGAACAAAGCACCAATACTTCATAACCCAGATGTTCAAGAACCTCAGGACGTCTAAAATAGTCCTGTTACATGAGAGGGAACAACAGTCCTGGTTATGCAACTTCAAGAACAAAAGTTACATTCTTATGTTTGTTTTTACAAAGAGATTTGAAATATGATACTTTTTATAGTAATAAATTTGTATGTCTAGTTTTTATTTATAATTGTATGATCAAAGTTTCTTTGTTACCCCGAAGGTTTATGTGCTCCAACGCAATTCAAAAAAGACAAGTCCAAAGGAACTTGTAAATCTAGTGCCAGCAATTGACAGCTCCGGGGTTGCATCTTTCATCTTATTCCGGATAATACCCAAAATATCAACTCACCTTTTCAGTAACAACCATCATTGGAACTGCAGAAAAATCTGATTCTAGCTTATGTAATCTCTTTCTTATTATGTCAATATCCTGCAGATATTAAGAAACAAATGTACCCTATTCATCATTATAAATATGGGTCTAAATAATATGTGTATCTGCGGGAGATATGAGAATGAATCCTGTGTGTGGTATATCTAATGGCGCCATGAAAATGTCATGCAGCAGATTGGGTCAAAATATGAAGACAGTTTTGTAAATAAGACTATACAACAACAACATTACCCCAGTGCCGCAAAGGCTCCCCACCTGGGGTGCGCTAAGGGGGTTTGAATGTACCCAGCCATACCCTGTACCAAAGCACATAAAGACTGTTTCCGAATGACCCATGATGAAAATCACATCGAAAGTTGCATGGACTGACTTTTGCTTTATTCCATCATATTCCCAAACCAAAAAATTAGTGAGTCTTGGTCCATTGGAAATGATGGATATTTGTAGATATGACTAAAAGAGATGATTTTGCTGACGCAAAAAAAGATCATTACCTGAACATAATTTGCAGTGTAGAGATTCAACAATGGGGATTTTGCATTTCTCACATTAAGAAAACCTCATCCCATAATATAAGACTTATTAGCTTATCATATCTCTAACTATCATCAAATTCACAAATTTATCCTATGCCTTAACTTTTATATAAAAAAGACTCAAACTTCAACTTTTTTAACAATTACAGTTTTCCGTTGTGATTTTTCAAAATTTACAAATTTATATAAACCTCAATACTTTTAATATACTTGAATTAAATTATATAATTTTATTAATTATTTAATATTATTTTTTTCATAAATTACCAAGAACTTAAATCAAATCTTATACGGAGTATATAAATTTACAACTGAAAATTTTCTAACAAGATCTAAAAATTAATATAAAATGATACTCTAACTAGTTGGTGAATAAACTAGTTCATATATTAATGCTTTTTAAAGAAGTTGCAAAAGTGATTTCAGCACTAATATTATTGTTAATAAAAATTATGTGTTACCAATAAAACTTTGAACTCTTTATATATAGTTGTATACTTGTATGTCACAGTTTCATCTTTCTAGTTATCATTCATATACTATGCACCATAGTTTGCTCAGTTATTCGTAATATTAGCTTCACCACTAGTAATTTTTTCAGTTTTACAGAACTATGGTTTTGTATAGTTTTTTTAAAGCAATACAGGTTTCCCAACTTAAAGTTATGAAGGAATGAAAAAAAATGAAATACATATAAGTTTTTTTCTTCAATAATAGTAATCAATCCATTGAAAGTGTAATTGTGAGAAAAGTTGAAGTTTGAGTCTTTTATAAAAGTTAAAGTATATGATAGATTTTAGAATTTGATGATAGTTGGGGATATATTAATTTAATAATTCATAATATATATATATATATATATATATATATATATATATATATATACAGGGTTAAGATCGGATACAAAGTGTGCTTCCCATACAAAGTGCAAACTCATCTCATCCATCCAATATGATAAAATAAAGGGTAAGATTTGGCTTGACCATTAAAACTCATCCGTAATAATGGAAGAGTTTTTGATCAACCAAGCATTAAATGCCAACATAAATTTAGTGGGGGAGTAATCCCATCTACACCATTATCTCATTTATATGGATGACCAAGATTAATTTGTACTTTGTAAATTATGATTAGTTTGTATGTGATCCTAAATCTATATATATATATATGTCTATACATACATATATATATATGTATCCACGTGTGTGGGCACGCATATACACATGTATATGCATGTGTGTATGTGTTTATTTGATGTCTATTATATGCAAATAAAACAAAGCAAATGGAAGCAAAGGAAAATTACAGGAAGATTCACTCATTAACCTTAGGTTGAAAAGAATGGTGGTCACTGAAATCTAACCGATCAACATGCATGGGTCCCATCTGAGATAAGCAGAGAATCCCAATTCAGATAAGGGAAGAATCACATTTTTATACCATGATTGTGCCAGTTTCTGCAATATAGACCCTCGTTGTCATTTTAGTACAAGGCAGTCCCTCAATTATCTAAAACGCTGTGACTTCAATCCGTCACAATACCCACTATTGCTAAAATCATTGAAGTGAATGTAATTGAAAAAGATACACATGCAAGATGTCAAAGTTAAATGACTCCATAATTTATGTGTAAGGGACTTAATTGGCTATTTCTAAAAGTAAGTGAGGGACTGAATTGCACCAAAATGATGGTGAGAGGCTACATTGCAAAATAAAAAACCATTGAGAGACCAAAATAGTGATTTCCCCATCAAACATATGAGAAGTAAATCTGGAAAGTGTAGTGAAATGTAAAAACATATTAAACCTTATGAATCCTCTGCACGAATGAATCTGCAGATCCAATGGCAGAGACACATAAGAGTATTGCATGAGATATGTCCTTCAAAGGACATGTGTATGATATGTTTCCCACTCTGATAAAGTGTGAAGGAGCTAAAATGCTGAAGAATATGGGTACTGATTCATTATATTTGTGAACCATTGACTCTATGGCTTGAATTTCCAGCTTCGACGCCTAATAGAGTCAGTCAAGTCATTAATTTACTCATGCACTTCGGCATTTATTTATTTATAAACTAAAAGATGGCATATTAAAGGCACTTAAAAAAAAATTGGTACCATATCTGCATGATGCACTATGACAACATCTGCACGCTTAAGGGCTGAAAATGGTTCTCTTAATGTTCCGAGAGGAAGTAAGAGATGGTTTCCCCAAGGGATCATTGCATTCACCATAACGATCTCTATGTTTCGCCATAAACTAAGATGCTGCCTTCCAATTTCCAACCACATTACTAGTAAACATCATGTTTATCAATATGCAGAGGGCAGATGAAGAAGTTGATCTAAAATATTAAATAAAGAATAACTTCTCATGTCCTCGGTGATAAGAACAGTCACATAAAAATAAAAAAAGGTATACATAGAATAAGACAGGGTAAGGTTTTGTTTGGAGCTTGGGAAATGGTTTGGAAGGAAAATAAATACTAAAAAATATAGTTTTTTAATGTTTCAGTTTACCTTGAAAAATAAAAAAAAAATAAAAACAATCAAATTTGTCTAAAAGTTTTTAAATTTGTACATATATATCTTAATTTCATAACTTCATAAGATAGAACGAGTTTCATGATATCTAGATAAAATGATTTTTTACTTTGAGCAAAAATGTAAAAAAGATTTATACGGAGTATGAGTTTGAAAGGTGTTTCTTTTATCCAGCACATTTTCTCCTTCCAATTTTTCTCTCCATACCCCCCTTCCAATTTTCTTTCGGCCCATTTTGGCATAGAAGCAATGGAAAATAAGAAATCATAGGCAGACCTGCATTCCGTCATCTAAGATGGCAACCCCAATTTTATCTCCACACGAAATATTTTCTGAGGAAAGAGTCTCATGATTCAGACTTCCCCTAGGATCAATGTAACCATATCTTTGAAAGTAGATTGAAGCAATTGCCGCCCTGTTTGCACCAACACCTATCTTAGCAGGCGTCCCCTGAAGATGCCTCTCTAGCATCTTAACCTCATCTTCCCCACCATAACCCTGCAAACACGTTGTCGAACAAAGTACTAGAAGCCGCGTATACAGTATTCGGAAAGGAAGATTAAGTACCCTGGTGAGAATCAGAGGTGGAATTCCAGAATCGACGAAGCAGCGAGCAATAAACTCCACCATTGGAGTCTTTCCATTGCCTCCCCAAGTCAAATTCCCGACGCTAATCACAGGCACCGGAAGCCTTTCAGTTCAAACAAATCACGTCATCGTTATGAGAAAACAGAAACTAAGACTCGTTCCGTTTGAGGGAAAAAGCTGCTGTGAGTGAGATTATACCTGTGCTGGCGTAAGAGCCCGAGAGCGTAGAGGCGGCGCCGAAAGTGGAGTGCCGGCAGGTAGAGGGAGGACGCTAAGGACAGAAGTGGGATCAAAGAGAGGTGGAGCGGTGAAAGGGTGGATAGCCATTGAGACGGCGGAGAATTGGCTATTTGGGTCACCAGTCTAGCCAGTTTGTCCATTTTGATAGAAAAACAGCATAAGATGAAGCAGAGGACAGAGGAGGCAGCCCCAAATAAAAATCCTTTCTCCATCATAATTTTATGTTTTTTTGGGAACATGAAAATTACAAAATAGGAGTGCTTATTGTCAAGTTTGAAAAATAATGACATATTTAAAATTTGATACTGCCAAAACATGATGATATAAGTAGTCCTATTTTGGAAATAAAAACATGAAAGTCCTATTTTGGAATATACAAACGTTTATAGTCCTATTTAGAGTAATTTTTTTTTTTTTTTACTTTTCTAATTCTCCCTAAAAGTCTTTCGTGATTAACCCTTAATTATACAATTTTCAATTTATTATTTCTCATGCCGTCAAACTTAATAAAATTTTGAGGGACAAATGGAGTAACATCTCAGTCACTCTTATAAGGGTATAGCTATGTTTGACACACAAAAGGCTCTAGCTTCTAGCTTTTCTATTCTTTAAAAAGACCTTAAAAGACTCTAGTTGTATATTTGACATGACATTTTTTAAGAGCTTTTAAAAAATTAAAAGATCTTTTTTGAGATGCTACTGGGTGTAGCATCTGAGAAAAGTTTGTGACTTTTAGTTTTAATTAATCCTAAGAGCTTGTATATCAAACCGAACTAAATCAAACCGTCAGTTTTTTACCAAACAGCTATCACCTTTTCTTTTTAAAATCTTTTCAATCACTAAAAACTAACACTTACTAAAAACCCCGTAAAAGTATCTTTTTAGCTAGTTGTGCCAAACATACCCTATGTAAGGTGAGACTCTTCGTTCTCAATCTTTCAAATTTCCTTTTTCGTTCGTCTTAAATAATCTTTCATTTTCTTGTTCGGCAAAAAAATTGTGTTTCACAATATTTTTACACATTTCTCTTTCATCTACACAACTTTCACCATACAATAATCACTATCTTAATACTCATTCAAATTGTACTTTTGAAGATAATTTAAGGACGGAGGGATGACTCGAATATCAATAGTTCAACGTTTATTGACTTATTGTTGAGTGAAGTTGTTGGCTTAAAGTCTCATTTACTCTTCCATTATTTTATCAGGTTGGGTTATAAAAAAATCAAGAATGCAATCTATTAGTTATTTTACGATTCATTTTCTTTGGTTCGGTTTTTTGATGATCGGTTTTAAAAAAAGTGAAATCGAGATCCCGAATCGCATTGCTTGAGTGGGTTTTGGTCAGTTCGATTCAACTAATTTCGATCCATTTTAACTCGTTTCGGTCGATTTTTGTCAGTCAGCTCGTATGGATTTTTAACCAAAAGATATAAACGGTAACCAAAACTACAAGCGAGTCGGTCGATTTCAACTTAATTCGGCTTGTACATTCTTATTAAAATACTAGCTTTCTATACGCGCCTAGGGATGGACCGAGACAGGTCGGGCTCGTGCCTAAAAATTTCAGGTCCAGTACTGGCCCGGATTGTACCGGGACCGGCCCTGATCGGGTCTAAATAGTACCAGGTCGGGACCGGGCCAGGACGAAACTGGGCAATGAATTTAAAAAAAAAGTGAAATTGGGCCCGGGACCACACCTATACATTAGCGGGTCGGGCCGACCCGTCCTAGTCTATCTCTATACGCACCATGCGTGAAAGCTAATGTCCAATAATATACTTTCATTATTCTAATTTACTTGTAAGTAAAATAATATTTTAGGTTTTAAAAACAATGACATTGTGGGCTATAACAGTTTACACACATATTAAAGAATTATCATTATCGGAATACATGAATAACATATTATCAGTTGCCAATATTTTGAATTTAATGTGATTGAGGCCTCCACTAATGTACTTATTGTCCTACTAGCTTTCAAGCCCGTGCGATGCACGGGTAGTACATAATTTAGCTAATTGTATATTTGATATTTTCGAAATCATATATAATTAATAAAAGTAATTCAAATTTATATGAAAAATATTTAAATTGGACTTCTACATAAGCATCTCAACTAAACATAATGGTTATGAACCCGATTTTAAAGAATTCATACAAAAGTTTCTTAATTAATTTCACATCCTCTATATTACTTCATTAAGCATCTAAAAAACTATTTTTAAATATTTCTCATTCAACATGTGGTATGAAATAAGTATTTGTAAATTTATTAGTGAGCTCTTACATTGTACTCATTATGTTGTCACATTGAAATGTAAAAAAGGGATCATTTTTACAATTTACTCATTTATTTCGTCACATTGAAAATGTCATTAATAAGGATATTTTTAATTAGATTGACATGTTCATTTCTAACTTGGTCTGGAAGATGTCTATTTTATGTATAATAATAATAATAACAACAACAACAATAATAATAATAATTATTATTATTATGATTGATATTTGATCCGATCTTGTCTAAGACTGAAACCAGTCCAATTAAAAACACCCTAAATGTATGAAGATTTCCTAATTTAGATTAGGAATCTATGTCAAAAGTGAAGGAAAATCTAAATTGTAGTTGTAAAAATAAAGAAACAACTAAACATGTTTACTTTTTTTGCTGGGCTAAACGTATTCATATATGTATGATATGAATTTCCATTTCCATCCTCATAAAGGTAAGATACTTGATCAAAAGTTTTAAATGTTTTCATATATGAATGTCTAATAGTATATATCAATTTCATTTTTAAGTTAAAAAATCTTGTGGTTATAATTTTCATCATTATCTCAACAATTAAGAAACAATGGTATGATGATGCAGAAAAACGCGAAGTATTAACACAATTGCAAATATAAGTCTGATAACTTTAGTCATTGTCACATTGAGTTTAGAAAACATTCAAAAAATTGAGTTTAGAAAAATAAAATATTACTCCGTACTTTTTAGGAAATGGAACACTATTATTACTTTATTTATAAAATAACTTTGAAGAACAAAATTGACAGGAACTTGGATGATTTATTTGTTAGGTGCGCAAAACACGAATAATTCACTTCTCAATAGAATGTAATAAAAATAAAAGTATAAAAATAAGTACGTAAATTAAATAAAGTCTATGTGCATGGATGACTATTTATTGTTGTGGTTGCAATAATTGCTTATTTTAATAACAATCCACATTACTACGGAGTAAGTAGTAGATTCTGAAAAAGTTACCAAATAAGGTGGATTTTATCATACGCGACGGTCTTTTGTTTCCATATCAATATGTAATAAAAAATAGAATGTAATAAAAAAGGTATAAATAGTAATTAAATAATTGTTATATATGATGATATGACAGGATTATGTGACACGCCAGATGCTCTTAAAATTCATCTTTTATATATATTTTAATAAATATCCATATTAATACGGAGTAAGTAGTAGATTCTGAAAAAGTTACCAAATAAGGTGGATTCTATCATACGATCTTTTGTTTCCATATCAATATGCAATAAAAATAGAATATAATAAAAACAATAAAATGTATAAATAGTAATTAAATAATTGTAATATATGATGACATGACAGGATTATGTGGCGCGCCGTATGCTCTTAAAAGGTTCCTCTTATATATATATATTGATTCTATTTTTATTGTATTTCTTTTTATATATCAATTTATAATGCTATTTCTCAATTTTTAAGTAATATTATCAAACAATAATTGTACAATTTATATGAATACATGCTCACTTGTATGATTGTTTGGGTAGCTAAATATTGTTGAAATGTTTACCCACCAAATGTTAATACTCCACTACGTAATACACTATTGTAATAGTAATAATATGAGACGTAACTATGCATTGAATGTGTATAGTTAATGTAAATGTTTTGTATGTGATTTAATTGTAACTCATGCAATATTTGTTATACCTTTAACCCCTTTTCATATTTATAAGTTTGTTTTTTCTTCGTCAAAATGGATTTCATTAAAATAGAGCAAACATGTAAGACAATATTTGGACATCTATTACAGATCCGATCGTAAGTCGTAGGAATAGACTTAGAATCAGCCGCTCATACAAAGCAACCTGACTCGCTAGACACAAAATGAGTTAAAATAAGCCTAAAGCGATCGAAAATGAAGCACTATCTATCAAAAGTTCATCAAAAATAAATAAAAAAACTCTAACCATACCTACTCGAACTGAAATAAAAACAAATACTACTAAAGAAAAAATAATACGAAAATAGAAACTTTCCCAAAAATGCTTCTTCGCCCGGAGGTGGTTCCGGAGGTGGACGAGCTACACTAGCATGCGATCGGAGAAGAGAATTTCGATCCTTGGAAAATTCATCTAAAACTCTATCCTTTTTGCTCTCGCCAATTTGTTTCTTGAGGTTTGCCATTGAAATCCATGTCCGAGGTGCAGAAGAAATCTCTATCATGTTGCCTTTGTACCTAATCGCCTGCAAAAATCTCGGATCAGCCCCGCACAAGAAAGGATTCCAGACTGGTACGAAACACTGGTGCGAACAAGAGCTTTCCTTAGATCCAACTTTTCGAGAATTCCCTTGATCAAACCGTCCAAGAAGAATTTCCAATTGGACGCAAACCCCAAACCTATATGCGTACTCACCGAGTTGCTGCCTTGATATCGAGTAAGAGACCAGCCCTGCTCTTCCGACAAGAGCAGCCGATAAGAGGTGCAACCCAAAACACACCGGACACCGTCGATTAAATCGATCGCCTGAAAACAAACCCTAGCCGGCGATCGAGGTTGTGCGCTGGTAAAAATAATTAGAGTATATATTCCTCTATCTAGTTAAAACATTCATATTTATAAGTTTGTTAGATACTACATAATACTAAACTCTCCTAAAAGATTAAAATAGTGTAACACTGATAAACAATTAACTTTACGTCAGTCTAGGTTCAAATAACATTATAATACTCTACTACTAATATACTACTAAGTTTAAATCGTTACGTTCGAATAACAAACACATTACTTCATTATCATTAAATTCAAATAAGAATTAACACCAACACATCACTACCATCATTAATTTATAAAATTAGGAGTATAGTTGTTAAATTTGCTAAAATTAGTACAGTGTGTCTTAAATGGCTGAATTAGCGGAA